GAGCTCAGAATTTCCAGGATGCCTCAGGCCGAACTAGTCTGACCGCCTCAGGTCAGGCGACCTGTGGCCCTAGAACTACCACGATGTGTAAATGTGTCTGCTGAAAGAAACAACTCTCCTGCTTTCTACCTATCCACCGCCTCCTCGGTTACGTTGATGTTCAAAGGCCCTGCAGATGCCGCAACTCTGGCCCCTCCTGCTGTTGTTGCTGCTTGTATTGTTCAAAAGTACAGAAAGGGAGCGAGGATGATGATGACAGTGTGCTGAAGGATAGTAGTAGACTTGAGCTTTTGAGCGCACCAGAACTGTCAATACCCCTGCAAATGACATCGCACACAACCGCCTTGCACACCCCGCCCCCGCACAACCCCCTCGCACACATTATGCGAACGTGTGTTTCCATAAGATATAGTACTAGAATCACGCGCGCTTCGCGCGCTTAGATTCTAGCCCAATCCATGGCGCTGTGATGACACCAAGGTCGGGGTTTGCGGGCGACTCGCTGTCTGAGAGGGGTTGCGACCGAATTGGGCCAGTTAAGGAATGTCGCAGGGCTTCCTTGGACTGGCTTTTGAACTGTTCAGGCGCTGTGTTTGGGGCGGCAGGTGTCTTGGGCTAGGGTTGCCAGATCGTTGTCAGGACGCAAGTCTTAGCTTGCGGGTTCGTCGGGGAGATCGCTGACCAGACTTGGGTCATTGACTCTATTGACTGGCTATCTAAATGTCGAGGCCGTAGTTTGCCGTGAAATGCATGCGCTGTCACGCCAGCTGGCGGAGCGCGTGCAAAAACACCTCCTGGTCGCACAGGCAGGGCCTCAAACTCGATGATTTGATCATTGCTGAAGAGCTTTCGAGCCACCTCCAGCTTTCGTTCGGCATTCTTCGAGCCTCTTGGACGGACGCATGCTGGAGACGCGGTCTTATGTCTTTGGGGGCAGTTTCAGAACCCTCTCACGGGGCTTGCATGGTCATCTTGGAAGTCCCTTGGGGACGTTTTGGGGGCCTCTTGGGCTGTCGTCGGGCCCTCCTGGGGCCGTGCTGAGGCCGTCCTGGGCCCATCTTGTGCAGTCTTGGAGCCGTCTTGGGCGGTCGGAAGCCAGGAAGCGCGAACACACAAAAATCCTTCAGGCCTCTTTGGGGTGCGCCGGGTACTTTCCTGGGGTGTCCTGGGGACCCTTGCGCCGTGCTGAGGCCATCCTGCTCTTGGTGCCCTTTTGGGCCATCTTCGGTTCATTTTGGTTCTCCTTAGGCGGTCTCGGGGGTACCTTAGGCTGTCTTGGAAGTCGATTGGGCCGACTGGAGGCCTCTTGGAGGCCCTGGGAAGGGGGTATCAAAAAAGAGGGCGAGATAGTAGCGAGGTGCCAGGCCCCCAGGCGAGGATCGAGGTCCGAAGTTGTTTTGTCTTCGTGGGGTCTCGTCGTCACCGCGGCTGGACGCATCTCGAAGCGACGTGCTTTCCTTTCCGAGGTGCAGGACGAGGACGGGGAGGGAGATGAGGAGGCAGAAGCATCAATAGCCGTTGGAGCAACAATTTGTTCGGCATCTCGGGGATCTCTTTGGGTCGTCTTGAGCTCACACCACCGTCCGCATTTAGGATCCTTGGTGTTTGGAACTCGTTACGTGAAACGACACAAGAGCCAGACGAACATCTAGTCATGCGTTTAGCGTCTCCAGGCCTTCTTGGGTGCCCTCTTGGGGCAATTTTGGACTACTTCTCGCTCTCTCGCGAGGTACTGGAACCCATTTGGAGCGTTTTTGAAGGCTTTGGCTGTCTTGGGGTCGTGCTGGGTCCCTCTTGGAGGGCTCTTAGGGCCCTCTTGGATCTCTCTTGAAACCATGTGGGAACTTCTAGGCCTTCTTCGGGCCGTCTTGGAGCGCCCTTAGGCCGTCTTGGAACTATCTTGGGCCATCTGGGGCACTCTTTGAGAGCCGCTTGGACCGTCTTGGGCCGACTTCTGGGGCCTCATGGCCTGCCTTGGCCCGTCAGAAGCATGAAACCAGAACACGGAAAACCTCAAAAAACAGAAAAACAGTTGTTTCGCCTCCTGAGGGCTCCGTGGGACTCCCTTTGAGGGCCTCGCGGCCGTCTTGAGGCCCTCTGGGGCTGTCTTGAAGCCATGTTGGGCCATCTTGGAACGCTCTTGTGCGGTCTTGGGCTCTCTTGGAGCGCGTTTGGGCCGTCTTGGAGCCCTCGTGGACGTCTCTTGGAGCGTCCTTGAACGTCTCTTCGGCGCTGTTGAGGCCTATTGGGCCGTCCTGGGGCGCTTTTGAAGTCCATTGGGCCGTCTTGGGGCGATCCTCGGAGCCTCCTGGGGCGTGTTGCAGCGTCGGGAAAGCGCAACATGCGGAGCCGCCAAGATTGTTCAAACGCCTGCGGGACAGACATGTTTTTTGGCCTCCTCGAGCTCTCTTGGGAAACCTCTGGGAAACCTCTTAGGTATCTAGGGGCCCCTTGGACCGTCTGGACGCTGTCCAGTGGCTTTCGGCCCATCCCGCCACCGTACTTGGGTTGTGGGTTAGAGGCCTCTTGGAAGTTCGTTTGGAATTCGTGGGAGGCTTCCCGGGGGCCTCTTGAAGGCAGTTTTGGAGGCCTGTCGGGGGCCGTTTGGGGTGCTCTTGGGGCGTCTTTCCGGGCATGTTTGGGGCCTCGTGGGGACTCTAGGGGACCTCTCGGGGGCACTCGGGCTCTGTTGGGGGCATCTTGGGGCCGCCAATTCCCATCCTCCCTCCCTCGCCTTTCCTCTCTCCTCGTCCTCCCTTCCTCTCTTCCTCTCGGCTCTTCGCTCCTTCTCCTCCTCCTCCTCATCTGTTCCTCCTTCTCATTACTCTCCTCCCCTCCCCTTCCTCCCCCCCCTCAACCCTCCTCATCCTTCGTGCGGGCACATCCGCAGGGTCCCTTGCCTAAGAAGCTTGCTCCCACAGGAGACTCCATCCTTCGTGTTTCAAGGATGTTCCTATCGATTGGCTTCGAATCCTTCCCAGCAGCGGTTCCGCTCGAGACTTCCTCGCAACTTAGCATCACAGAAGCGTCCCAGGGGCCGTTTCGCTTGAGACTTGGAGGGAGGGCCATAGAGGGCCCCCTGAAGGCTCTGGAAGCTATTTTTGGAAACTCCTGCGGGGCTCCCGCCGCGCCGTTCGCAAGAAGCGGAGCCACTGAACAGTGGAAATGGACATACACGCTGCACAGCAGAGAGCCACTGACAGAAGTGTGAATTGGCCGAGCCCAGCACAGAAGTTTCAGAACCTTAGGGGGGCACATGCGAACCCTACCCCTACCCCGCATGATTTCTGAGGGGAAGGGTGGGGTAGGGTTCGCATGTGGCCCCCTAAACCTGCTGTCGTTCCTCCTTCCGACTCCCTGTAAAAAACTTGGACGGCGCACCTGAGCCTGCGCCTCTCGCCCACGGCCAACTCGTGCCCCTCGGTCCGACAAGCGAGGAAGATGGGGAAACGGACAAAACTGGAACCGTCCGGGAAGGAGAAGGAGGATGGGGAGGGCGAGGGAGGGCGGAGGAAGCAAGTCCCCCTGGTCTCAGCCCCTTGAAGCTAGCGAACGACCGTCCAGGGAAGTAGCCATCTTTTGTCAGCCGTTGCAGGTCGGAGCAGGACGGCTGGCAAGGATGCCAGCTCGATTCGGCGAGCAACGGGAGCATGTGACAGCGCGGAATGGCAACAAACTGCTGCCAGGCAGCCACTGAGGGCGCACCTGTCAGATACCTACAGCCATCGGCCTGACCTAAGGAACGATACATCAGGAACGAAGCACCTTTGTTTTCCAAGGACCAATGCATAAAGAACGATAAAAAATGAAAAACGCATACGGAACGATGGATAACGCATGCAAGCCTAGGGAACGAACGAGCCACTATTGAAAAGCAAGTGTTCCTTACTCAAGCCGCTCACTGCACTTCTCAAGCATCCCGCATGGTCACGCGAAGGTTGCGGTTGCAACTGGCGACTCGGGGGAAGGAGCCTGGCCATAGCAAAGTCGTGCGCTTGGTACAAGACGCTGGGGCAGTCATCACCTCTTTGTGGTCGTCTTCCCCCAGCAAGCCTCCGACGGCAAACCCTGATCGCCCCAAATGTTTCACGCGCACATTCAAATACCAGATGCCACTCTCTGTGCGTCCATGGACGACTTTCAACTCGACCGGGCCAATAGCAACCCATTGCGGAATCGTCGCGGCGCTGTGCCCTCCGCTGTAGTGATACCCTCCAACTTGCTTAGCCTCCGCCCAAGAGCCTGTAGTGTTCAATTCCTTGAAGTACATATCCGAACAACTTCTACCCGATCGGCGCGCATCGGCCTGCACACGAAGCAATGCGTCTTCAGCGCTCACTCCACGAGGGATGTTTATCAGAACATGTTTGCCTGGCTTCATTAAATCGAACCGCTCGCCATGAACGTTTTGAAGGTGCGGATCGCCGGTGGCAGCCACGCCTCCAGTCGTGGGAGCTGCAGGAGGAAACGTTGGACTTGGTGTCGGCCAGCCCAGAAGATACGTCGGACTGGGCGTCGGGCTGGGCGTCGGGAGCGACGTCGGGTAGACAGACGGAAAAGCCGTGGGGTAGACCGTCGGGAAACCCGTCGGGTAGGGCGTCGGGAAGGCGGTCGGGTAAGGCGTCGGGAAAACTGTGGGGTAAGGCGTTGGGAAAGCCGTGGGGTAGGCCGCCGGGAAGGCCGTGGGGTAGAGCGTCGGGAAAGCCGTGGGGTAGGGCGTTGGGAAAACTGTAGGGTAGGGCGTGGGGTAGGGTGTGGGGTAGGGTGTGGGGTAGGGCGTTGGGTTCGGCGTCGGGTTCGGCGTCGGGTTCGGCGTCGGCTTCGGCGTCGGCTTCGGCGTCGGGTTCGGCGTCGGGTACGGCGTCGGCATCGGCGTCGGCTTCGGCGTCGGGTTCGGCGTCGGGTTCGGCGTCGGGTTCGGCGTCGGCTTCGGCGTCGGGTACGGCGTCGGGTTCGGCGTCGGGTTCGGCGTCGGCTACGGCGTCGGATGCGGCGTCGGGTTCTGCGTCGGGTACGGCGTCGGCTTCGGCGTCGGGTTCGGCGTCGGGTTCGGCGTCGGCTTCGGCGTCGGGTACGGCGTCGGGTTCGGCGTCGGGTTCGGCGTCGGCTTCGGCGTCGGGTATGGCGTCGGGTTCGGCGTCGGGTTCGGCGTCGGGTACGGCGTCGGCTTCGGCGTCGGGTACGGCGTCGGCTTCGGCGTCGGGTATGGCGTCGGCTTCGGCGTCGGGTTGGGCGCCGGAGATGGCGTCGGCTGTGGAGTCTGGAAAAAGTAGCGGGCGCGCACGCATACCTGGGTTCCGGCAGTGTAACGGCAGCCATGGTTCGCCCACCATTTCGTGCCGATAGGAGCTGGCGACTCCCATGTCGTCGAGCCGAACCAGATAATGGAGGAGCCCACGCACTCATCCCAGTACCACAGCACATCTGTCGCGTAACCTCCCACGCCACCATTAAACTCTCAGACGACACAACCGTAGCCTGCGGCCGCATTCTCGTTGGGCTGACGCGCCCACTGCATTCCGATCACCCCCGCGGGTCTATCAGCATCCCCCGGCGCCTGAAACATCGGGGAGTCGTACATGTTGCCATTACAGAAATGTTTGCACACTGCCGACGACCACGCGCCTGCCCGCCCAGAAGGGGCGCTACTTTCGACGCGCAGCGTGGTATTGACGGCCTCAACGAGCTCGCCCTCAGAAAGCTCTTTGAATGGACCACCGCCATCCTCGATGACCATGTGCATCGCCGCTGGATCCCCTCCAAGCGCCTCCGCGCGCACGATGAAATAGAGGATGGCCACGCTGGCGTGCAAAAGCCCCATCGGAAGCATACCGTTCGTGAGTGGAGCGCACGGGCTAGCAATGGAGCGAGGAGAGCTCGCTCAAGCGTGTACAGCACGGAAGGAAGTGTCTGCCTGAAAAGCTTGAGCCAAAAGGCTT